TGTAGGATGTTTTCTCACCCCTCGTGTAGAATTCAAGGTTGGGTGAGGTGTACTCACGAGTATCGGTAACCGTCCTGTTTGTAATGTCGTCATCAATGATGAAGTTGGTTGATTTTGCAGTTGTCCCAGTGAATACAGCAACAATTTGCCAATTCCCCCGCTTCTTGCAAATCCAAAGGAGAACGATACAAAAGAGCATTGTGTCCATTGTGCCCTCATCAAGCAGGTAGTGTGCTTTGTGAAGAAACAAAACCGATTCCGTCTGCTCATTAGCGATATTGAACAAGGCAATCATGTCATCCAGCTTTTTAAATACGCCGTCAACTACTTGTTGAAAGGATTGATTGCTGTCTATGCCGTTTCGGAGATCAATGAATGCGTCAAACAGGTGCTTCTCCTTTTTCTTTTCATTGCTTTCCCCTTTTGCATTGCGGCAGAGAATGAGCCAACCCACAATATTGGTACCACTCTTAGATTTCCCTTTACCACTCTTAGATGTCCCTTCTTCATTCATCTTGTACTGCTTGCACAATTTGTAGAGAATCTTTGTCTTCCCCATTCCACTCCATTGCACAAAGCAAATATAGGGTCCATAGTGCTCGCCTTCATTGCCTTTCTTGTAAAATGTCAGAAATATAAAACAGATTTTTTGTGCAGTTGGAGCATATCAAAATCGTGCGTCAACACTGTGACGATCACTTTGTAAGATATGCCAACAAACTGCCGCTCCTGTTGATACACATTTGTACCAGGCTTCTTGCCGCCTTGTTCCAAAAACTTCACCAAGTTGTCGACGGCGACTTCCAATTGATCCTACAACCTGAAAAAGCCTTGTAGAGAAGAGGTGAAAAAGCTTCATCCCACATCTCTTTGATCTCAGTTGCCATCATGTTTGTATCAGGTTGGCGTCCAGGTTTCCACGCTTCTTTTGGTATTGTGTTTTCAAGGTAGGCTGCAATGTCTTCGACAGATTGACTGCTGCTGCTGCCTATACTTGCCGCATCAGATGTTGCTGCTTCCGCCATTATGGAATGAAAGCAATTAATGTATAGAATTGGGGGATGGATGGAATTGATGGATGGAATTGATGGATGGAATTGATGGATGGAATTGATGGATGGAATTGATGGATGGAACTGATGCGTGCTCTATACTGTACAATCTTTTGAAGTAAAGGTTGAAGGTGGAGCACCACTCAAACACCCGGCAGAGTGAGGACTTCCAAATTTGTCATGGCCACTCTTGGGTAATATCCAATACGTCATCATTGGACCCGTTCTGTGTGACA